ATAGTTGAACACTGTGGTTTCTATAGCCATTTGGCCCAGGAAAGGGGAAAAGGAAAAACGAAAACAAGTAAGTGCCCGCCTAAAAAAACAACCAATTTCCCCAAAAAAAGAAAGCGGAAAAACGAAGCCAAAAACATAAAAAAACAAACGCCAACCGCCCGTCCTCTGCCTCTTCCTCACTCCCCCCTCCTATGTCTGTTATCTCTATTACTAATTTCCAAGTCAATATGTATTTATTGAAAATCTACAGGTGCCACCTTTTCTAAGGTGGGAGTTGAACTTCAATTTCAGGTTGCATATATTGGTTTATATGCTTAGATTGTGCCTCAATCTAAAACATTCTGAGCCTCGATTTCTTTGGGAGTCGTGAAATAGACTGGGAAATTGATTTTAAAGTGAACTGACTGTCTCAGACTCACGAGATGTTCTAGAGAGATTTAAAAAATAAAATTCTGTCACCGTTAATTTTCTATAGGCTCAAGATACAGAATAAAACTTTCTTTACCACGAGACCAACATAATCAATTATCCATTAATTTACATTTGTTTATATGCCTGCATTAATTTAACCACCCCTCTACCACTTCCAAACTCATGCTATGGGCCAGGATTTATGAATATGTGACCATCTCTGATCACCAAACCTTCATAGAAACTAGTTATTCAGAGACAGAATAACTCATTTCTGTTCATAAGTAATTAGTTTTTGTTAATTCTGCAACAAATTAATGTTCTGCAAGGTTGCAAGTGTAACATAGGAGGATAAGGAGAAATGTTCATTCAAATTGGAAGACAGAGGGAGGGAGGCTTCTTTAATGAACTGATATATAAGGTGGATTTTAGAATGAGACGTGATCCGACAAATGAAGAAGTGCGGGGAGCAAAGCAAAGAGGAGCATCATGTGAAAACACGGAGTGACAGTAGTTGATGCGGTGATGAGGAGAGTTGATGGGTCCGAGGAAAGATAGCAGGGAAGGAAGACGGGCAGTAGGCAGATCCCATAGAGATTTGTGTGCCATTCTGCGGTTTTCTGGTGGCAGGAGAAGTCTCTGCAGGTTGCTTTGCTTCTTCTTAACCTTTACCCATCCTTCATCCTTCTTTCTTCTTTCCTCTCTTCTATTTCTTTCCCGTTCTCATGTTTGTTCCCCTCTTTCTCCCTTCTAATTATTTTCTCCTCAGCTCCTACTTTAATTGTATCAATACGCTGACAGCAGAGATACATTGTAAAAATGAGCACATCATTGCTCATGAATATGAGGTTGGACCGTAGGAAGGAATTTCTACTGTTAACATTTTCTATAAGTGATTGTCATGTAATTGTGTGTCTGTGTGAGTATTTAATGAGAAAATGGTTATTGACTCACCTTTTAAACTTTACCTTTTTGATGCTTGCATGATTGATAGGGACTCTGGGTGCTGTGAGTGGGGTAAGCAAGCAGCTGCAACTGAAGGAGAAAGATGTCGTTGCTTCTGTTTCTTCTGTAGATGTTTACAGACTCAGAAACTCTATGGAGCCATTCTGGACTGGAGGATCACTATGGGTTAGGATGGACTTGAAGATAATGGCTTTGGTTTGGTTTAGATGTGATTTCTAGTGACATCACTATATATTGAATTTGCTAAACTATGTGTTTGAATAACTTATTTTATAGTTTTAAAAATCAATTTTTTAGTAAAAAGTGATACAAGGTGTTTTTAGCCATTCAAATAATACCAGTTCTAAATTTAATGTTCAATGCTGTTCAAGAGTCATCTTTAGTAAAATTTGGTGTCCATTTTCAGACTTTAAAGTTCAAACACATAGTGTTTCATAGTTTTCTTTTTATGTACTTATTTATTTTTGCTTTTCACTAAGATTGGAAATCATGTCAGGTTTGCATATTCATATATGAATACTTCAATGCCTTCCTTGAATACAGAGTTGAATTTTGACTCTAAAGTATTCTCTAGAATATAATAAAACTGCCTCATGGGGCTTTTAAGGTTATAAAGTATTTTTTTTTATTATTATTAATTAGGAGTTAATACATATATCATACCATTCCACAGTTCTATTAAGTCAAGCAGAATTGTACCATTGCTACCAAAATCAGCTTCCAAACATTCTTTTTTTCCCCTGGACTCCTTCATTGTCTCTCTTTTACAGCAGCCACCACCCCCCCATTGTACCTGCTCCCCCAGAAACCCTTATTTTGCTTACTGTCCCTCTAGGTTCATCAATCCAGAGTTTCAGATGCTGAAAACAGTAAAACAGACAACACAACTGCAAGAGGGTGACCTCCAACGACCTACCTCCTGTGACATAGACCCTAGTATGTATGAAGAAAAACAAAACCAAACAAAAATACAGAAAATGTTGAAAATCAGATCAGGCCCAGCATGCATCAGAGGGGGAATCAACCAACAACGTTTTAACTGATCAAGTCAGAGTTATGCCTTTGATCTTCTACACTCATCTCTCCGATGCGCTCTGTTCTGTAACCCCTTTCCTCCCATCCCTCGATTGTGCAGAGGGAGTTCACCAGAGGCTTCTTTCCTATGTGGATCCCACAAATGAATCTTGGGCTCCTGTCACCCATAGTCTTCTGCAAACCAGATGTTCACAATTTAGGCTCTGATACTAATCCCTTATTCAATTTCGGATTATAGGATTTACAATTCTTTGGTGACTGATGATGGTGTGCTTCTTTTTCATGGACTTGTTGACATCTCACTTAAGACCTCAGACGCTATTTTATCTATTAGCCAGGCACCATCTAATTTCTTCACCACATTTTCTATAGCACTGATATCTTCTGTGTCCCCTTTCTGAGGATGAGTATCGAGCCAGGCAATAATGAAAGAACTAAGTGTTCTTAAGTTGGAACCCAAGTGTGAGCCCAAGTAAGTTTATAAACTTTTGAGGAAAGAGACGATCATATCTTTCTCCCAAAGAGTATCTGGTGGGTTCAAAAGGCAAAGTGTTTGGTTAGCAGCACTATGCTTAGATAGTCTTTAATGTCCTTAATGCTTCCCTATTTATTTACATGACAATACCTTAAGAATACTGTATGCATTTTTTGCATGTTTCTATGTATGTGTGAAGTCCTGGTTGCATAAGGGATTCAACACTGAGTTGCTAATGGCAAAGTGAGTTGTTCAAACCCACCTGCCTTGCCAGATGAGAAAGTGGAAGCTGTCTGTTTCTGTAATGATCCAGAGCCTTGGGATGGAGTATATCTTGCCTACAGGATACCTTGATTTGGAATTGACTTTGTTTCCTTATTATGACCATAAAGATTATTTTAAATTTTACTTTTTATAGAAAATGATGTAATAATTGCCCTTATTCCTAAATAAGTTATAATTTGTTACAATTTTCTTTTCTTAAAATGTAATTCTGTCATAAATAAGGAAAATTTTCAACTTTTGATAAATATTTAAGATGTGATTTCTGGAGCTGTAGTATCATTTGGTCTTATCCATGAGGAATCATCAATTTTTAAAACAAGTGTTAATAATATACTCAGTTTAAAATAGCAGTCATGTCTTATTTATCTGTATTTGATAACTAATGAGAGTTTAGCCCTCCATGTGATTATTGCTGTTTAGGATCCCTTTTGTCAATAGTCTTTGTTTTACTTATTTTTTTAAATTGGTAAGCCACGTTTTATTCCCTGTCTATTTGGAAGAACTAATTTTATATTGAAGATGTGCATCATTTGCATGACACTCTTAAATAATTTTAAAAGTTTGTCTTTACTTTTACTTTTATAGTGCTTATATCTACATAAGTACGTGAGTGTGCGGTTTGTATATTTTGAAATTTTGGATATGGTCAATATTGTTCCCCAGGTTTTATGTTCATGAGGATTTACTTAAAAATTTCTTTTCACATAATATTTGTTTTCAAATAGTTCTTTGCATTCTGTTCCTATCTTTTAAACATGTACTAATTTGAAATTTAAAGTACTTTTCCAAGTTTTATCTGCTGTGCCACACCCTCTGTTGACTGATGTTCCTTTTCCACCCTGCTGTGATATGGTTCTCCAGGAATTGTCAGTTAGGGCACTGTAAGCCTTCCTGTAGCTCATTCGTTCCATTCTCCCAAAGGGAGGTTTTGATGGTAGTTTGAAAGCAGAAATGCAATCAGTGGCAAAGTCTTGTTTCTAATCCAGACTCGCCTTCTTTTATTGCACTCTGCAGACACTGCATCGTTTACAGATAGTGGCAACTGTGAAAACTCTCAAAAGAAGATGCCATCCAAGAATTGTATAAAATATTTCAGTGTTCTTCTCTTGCTCCTAGGAGAAAAACCAAAGTTATCATCGATACAGGACATCATTGTGGTGGCACTCTATCATTACAGCCTGATGTCGCTATTCCTCTACTTGCCCCACTGGTCTCCTGTTTCAGGGGAGAGTCTGTACATGACATTTCATCAGCTTGGTGGATTAGTGGTTACACCTTGGGTTGCCTACAGTGAGATCAGCAGTTCAAAACCACCAGCCAGACTGTGGGGAGAAAGATGAGGCTTCCCATACAGAGTTACAGTCTCAGAAACTCCCAAGGGAAGTTCTACTCAGCCCTGTAGGATTGCCATGAGTCAGAAACAACTTTACAGAAATGAGTGTTTGTCTCTTAGTTTGGGATGATGTCAATTACATTTAAAATAACAATTTGCTGAGCATGGTCCAGCGCAGGCACTTCTTCTTTAAGTTACATTGGACAGTACTTGATTTTTTTCCCTTCAAATCAGTGCTCTAATCTGTATTATGACTATTTAAAAATTAGTGCCACCTTTAAAATATTAAGGCCATGAAATCAGGGTCTGTGTTTTTCAGTTCTTGAAATAGTGTGTGGCAGACAGTAAATATTCATTAGAACGAGTAGTTGACTGGATAATCAAAATAACCATTTGGTTAAATACTTTGTAGCTATTCATGAAAATTTCTTTTAATGCCACAATTAATAAACAACTTATTGTTTGTCGAGGTTTAATTTTGCTATTTGTCTCTTGTTCTTTAATTTTGGTCTGTTTTTTTATTTCTGCTTAGGTAACAACAAGTCAATGAGTGAAGTGAATTACTCTGAGGTGTCTGAATTTGTGTTCCTGGGACTCTCTACCTCTAGACCAATGCAGCGTTTCCTCCTTTCCTTCTCTACAGTGTTTTATGTAACAATCATCCTAGGAAACCTCCTCGTTGTGTTTACAGTGATTTTTGACTCTCATTTGCACTCTCCTATGTACTTCCTGCTAGCCAACCTCTCATTTATGGACTTGTGTCTTTCTACCTTAACCGTCCCTAAGATGGTCTCTGACTTGTATTCTGGGCAAAATACCATATCCTTTCTGGGGTGTGTCATCCAGATTTTTGTACTTCACGTACTAGGTGGATGTGAGATGGTGCTGCTCACCGCCATGGCCTTGGACCGATACGTGGCCATATGTAAGCCCCTCCACTACCTGACCATCATGAGTCCACGGATGTGCATTTTGCTTCTGGTTAGTGCCTGGGTCATTGGTCTCATACACTCAGTGACCCAGTTAGCTTTCGTTGTCCATTTGCCTTTTTGTGGCCCTAATGAGATAGACAGTTTTTACTGTGATCTACCTCGGTTTATCAAACTTGGCTGCATGGACACCTACAGACTAGAGTTCATCATTACTGCCAACAGTGGGTTCATTTCCATGGGAACGTTCTTCCTACTGATTGTCTCCTACATCTCCATCCTGATCACTGTATGGAAACGTTCTTCGGGTGGCTTGTCTAAGGCTCTCTCTACCCTCTCAGCTCACATCAGTGTGGTGTTTTTGTTCTTTGGACCATGCATCTTTGTCTATGTGTGGCCATTTCCCACAGTGCCAGTGGATAAATTTCTTGCCATTTTGGACTTCCTGATTACCCCCATCCTGAATCCTGCCATCTACACATTGAGGAACAAGGATATGAAGATGGCCATGAGGCGACTGAGTAGTTGGCTCTTGAGTTTGATGAAGTTCTCCTGAACAATTTCTTAGTGTACAGGTGTACTATTCTGTAAGCACTACTGTTCATATAAAGTGTGAATGGTTACACTATGTTTGGGTAATTTATTGTACTAAATTTGTTCCAAATTAATGACAATGTTTTATATATTTATATATATATAAATTATATATTTAAGTATTTACCTAATAAACTTTTATAGTTATAAAATTTTAGAATATTGCATACAGATCTTTTTGGCCTATATTTTGACTATTTCATAGAACATCTTAACATACAGAGTTCTATTCACAGAGTTATTTATTAAGGCTGTTATTTTTCTTTATCATTGAGATAAAAAATATCCACCTACAGGAGGAATGACTAATCACAGTTAAGCTTTGGCTAACAAAGCAGTCTCATGTTCCATGTTGGACCCGACTGCATGTTTCTGTTTTCATTTCTTTACTTTGTTATGTTAGGACTTGCAATAGTTATGTGAAAATGTCAGAACAAAGATTTTCAAATTCCATTTAGAAAAATCAGAGGGGCACTTAGTCTACTCCCACAAACATAGACCGGTCAAGGGTTGAAATAGAATCCACAGAAATTTCTTTAAAAAAAAGAAGAAAATATTTATGTAATAAATAAAATGTCTATTATTTATATACACAGAATGCTGTAAACTGGACAGAGAAATACTGAAACCATATGTAGTTTAATTTTATTTTATTCTTGCTATTCTTGCCTCTAAGGAACCCTCTGGCCATACTTCTTGCAAGACAGATTGGTTTGTCTTTTTAGCACTCCATAGTACTTCCAATATTCTTCTCCAGCACCACAATTCAAATGCATCCATGTTTTGTTGGTTTTCTTATTCAGTGTCCAACATTCACATTCATATGAGGCAATTGAAAATACCAGAGCTTGGATCAGGCAACCCTTAATCCTCAAAGTAAGTTCCTTGCTTTTCTATACTTTAAAGATGTCTTCTATAGCAGATTGACCCAGTTAAATCTTTTGATCTCTTGATTGTTGCGTCCAAGAGCAGTGGATGTACAATGAAGAAGACAAAATCCTTGACAACCTCGACCTATTTTTAACTTTGTATTATCATTTTATCCTTAACCACTTCATTTAAATTTTGTTTTTTACTGTTTCTTTTGGGTTTCCTAATTTGTGAGGCATAGAATAAGTGGATGCATAGAGATATTAACTGATGCAAGGGTTTATAGGGGATGTAGGGGTGGGAGTTGGAGATAAGGAGTCTGAGGGGATTTGGGGAGTAAACAATGAAGGCAGGAGTGGGCAATGAGCAGTAGAACTGATTATGATTATATAACTCAATTTAAAGGAGATTTAACAATGGAAAGGGGGAAGGATGTACTAAAATTGATTGTGATAATGATTTTACAATTCTTGATATGATTGAACTATAGAATTTTATAATATGTAGATTAGGTGCCAATAAAATGTAATGTAATTAAAAATCAGTTTAAGAAAAAGATTACAGTCTCAGAAACTCACAGGGACAGCACTACCCTGGCCTAAAAGATCAGAACTGATTCAATAACAGTGAGTTTTGATTTGGTTTAATAAAACATTATTTTTATTCAATTGATCATAAAACCCATCTTTTTCAACTGTACCAATATTTTTGAATTGTTGAGAAGCAGAAAAATGTGGTCCTACTTCAACAATGCCCTATTTGCTGTAGTAAGATTTGGATTTTTCTGGTAAATTTGTGACTGACATATTCAGTGAATATTATTAAAATTTCCCTGGCACATAAACCCCATTGTTAGTATAAATAGTGTCAGGCCATGAAAGGATCTATTTTATACATGTGAATAATTTAGTACTGTGATATGGAGTTAGCCTATATTGGTCCAATAGCTCTCTCTCAACAGGTCAATGAAAAATTAGTATCAGGGGCTATTCAAAGACAATATTAATGGAATATTGTATTCCCAGTGGATAATTGATTAGATTCTCTATCATAAATCATCAAGGAGGTTTTGAAAGTAAGCCGAAGGGTAAAAGGACAAAAAAAAGTCAAAAACATAGATCTAGGAATGGGTTTGGAGCTTGCCCTAGTTCCAACTATAGAATAATTAGTTCTTACATACTGGCCCTCAGAAAATGCACACGGAAGATGTGGGTGCCATAGCAAAATGTGGTGAAGAAATTAGATGGTGCTGGCTATCAGATAAAAGAGTGGTATTAAAGGGTATTAAAGACATGTTACCTTTAAGAAGCAGCCATCTAAGTGAGATGTCAACTAAGTTCACATGGAAGAAGCACACCAAAAACAGTCACTGAAGGATTGTAAATCATATAATCTGAAATTGAAGGAGGGACTAGTATCAGAGCCTAAATTTTGAGATTCTGGTTTGCAGAAGCTATGAATTTACAGTGGGAACCCAAGATACATTTGTGGGATCTGCATAAGAAATAAATGATATCCCTCTATCTGTAATAGAGGGATGGGAGAAAAGTGGTTATTAAATATAGTGCATTGGAGAGAGGATTATAGAAAATCAAAAGGATAAACCTGTTTTGAGTGGTTAAAATAGTCTCAGTTGATCTTCCCTCCGATGCACGTTAGGCCTGATCTGCTTTTCAAAATTTTCTGTATCTTTTGTTTGTTTGTTTTCATTGGGAATCCCCCTCATGAATTTTTGTTTATATGTTTTTCAGTATATGAAACCCAGGATTGATGATTCTATAGGGACAGCAAGTGGAATAAGGGTTTCTTGGGGGGGAGTATAATCCTCCTAAGATGCTGGGGTGGGGGGATTTAATGTCAAGGAGTTCAGGAAGGAAATTAATGTTTTGAAACTGGCTGTGATACCAATTGTGCAATACTGTTTGATGTGATTGAACTATTGAATGATATGATATCTGTATTAACTCCCAATAAATGGTTAAAAAAAAAACCTGTCCTCATTGGGAATCTACTTAAGTACTTCCTCTATGCAAGAACACTTTATAAATTATTATTTTGTTATATCTTGCCCTGTCCGACATCAGACAGGGCAAGACATGTTGTCCATAGTCTTGTAATCAGTTCCCCCTTTCCAACCCACTGTCCCTCTACCTCCCAGTATCTCCACTCACACCACTTGTCCTGAACGGATCATCCACCCTGGATTCCCTGTATTTCCAATTCCTATCTGTACCAGTGTACATCCTCTGGTCTAGCCAGACTTGCAGGTAGAATTGATATCATGATAGTGGGTGGGGGAGGAAGCATTTAGGAACTAGAGGAAATTTGTATTTTTCATCGTTGCTACATCACACGCTGTCTGGCTTGTCTTGTCCCTGAGACCTCTCTGCAAGGGGATGTCCAGTGGCCTACAAATGGACTTTGGGTCTCCACTCCGCACTCCCCCCCCTCATTCACTATGGTAAGATTTTTTGTTCTGATATCAGGCATCATCAGAACATTTGAAATTTTATTCCAATATCATTGGATAAAAATGCTAATTATAACAAACCATACAATAATACATGGAATAAGTTTTGCAACATTTAATGTGTCTTCACTTAAGCAATAAGAAATGTGGTGAAGAAAGCTGATGGTGCCCGGCTATAGCGTCTGCGGTCTTAAAATCTTGAAGGTAAACAAGCGGCCATCTAGCTCAGAAGCAACAAAGCCCACATGGAACAACATATCAACCTGTGTGCTCACGAGGTGTCAAACGGATCACTGAAGACAAATGGGTGCATAAGCAAATGTGGCGAAGAAAGCTGATGGTGCCCAGCTATCAAAAAGTATAGCGTCTGGGGTCTTAAAGGCTTGAAGGTAATCAAGCGGCTCAGAAGCAACAAAGCTCACATGGAAGAAGCACACTAGCCTATGCAACCACGAGGTGTCGAAGGGATCAGGTGTAAGGCATCATCAGAACAAAAAATCTTACCATAGTGAATGATGGGGGGAGTGCGGAATGGAGATCCATAGCCCATTAGTAGGCCACTGGAGATCCCCTTGCAGAGGGGTCTCGGGGAGGAGATAAGCCAGTCAGGGTGCGATGTAACAACGATGAGAAATACAACTTTCCTCTAGTTCCTAAATGTTTCCTCCCCGCTCCCACTACCATGGCTCGAATTCGACCTTGCAAGTCTGGCTAGACCAGAGGATGTACACTGGTACAGATAGGAACTGAAAATACTGTACAGGGAATCCAGGGCAGATGAGCCCTACAGGACCAGTGGTGTGAGTGGCGAAACAGGGAGGGTAAAGGGAGAATGGGTAGGAAAGAGGGAACCGATTACAAGGAACTGTGTGTGACCTCCTCCCCGGGGGACAGACAACCAACCGAAAAGTGGGTGAAGGGAGAAGTCAGACAGGGCAAGATATGACAAAATACCAATTTATAAACTATCAAGGGCTCATGAGGGAGGGGAAAAATGAGGACCTAATGCCAGGGGCTTAAGTGGAGAGAAAATATTTTGAGAATGATGTACAAATGCGCTTTACACAATTGATGTGTGTATGGATTGCATTAACAGTTGTATGAGCCCCTAATAAAATGTTTTAAAAAAAGAAAGAAAGAAATGTCGCTATTACTACTTAAACCCAAATGTTGTTACTGCTTGACTTCAGGCTGGAAATAAGTTTGCATTATTTCTAGCAATACTTTGATACATCCCCTCGTGTTTATAAGTCATTGGATTTGCCTCTCTACAGAGCCCAGGATAAGACAACACCATTGGTTATGAGATTCAGAGCTGCTGTCCCGTTCCTATATCAATTAATTTCTGTGGTCAAATAACTCAGTTTAATTATACTAAAAGGTGGGAATATTGATTAGCTGTTGAACTACTTCATATCGTTCTAGTTAGTTTTCAATGACCATTTTATATGACTGCTGATGAAATTCATTCTGTTATAAAATAGTATTAAAATCAGTTTGTTTCGGAAATAATTTTACAGGACAAGGGTTATTTTAATAGCTTGATTAGAGTCTAAAAGGTTCAGCTAGACTTTTAAAAGGAAATGAAGGAATAGTATTTTTCATTATGAATTGACTTTCAG